ATGAGAAATATTTTTTCATACACTATTGATTTCTCGTGCTATTTCATATAAAACAGCAATTGTTTCACCTGCTTGATTACGTAAATCAGCATCATTAGATTCAATAAGACCAGGAATTTTTTCAGGTGCATAACTAAAATAATAAATAATATTTAGAGTTTATCTCAATAAATTAGCCCTTGAATTTTTTCTGATGTTAGTTTTGCTTACGTTCGAATTAAATCATGAGCATGATTATTTGGCATCGTTGATAAAAGAAGACACCAAGATGCAAGTGCAGCTGTATGTAATTCTTGTAAATTACGTGTTACAATTGGAACACTTCCATCACCAAGTAAAAATGATTTGGAAAAAATAACTTCCAATGATTTCATTAATTCAACAGTTGACTAATAATTCAAAAAAATGAAAACTCTATTTTCATTACATTGAAATCTTACTGAAATATCTTCACTGGCAATGAAACAAACAAAGCCAATTGCTTGAGCATACTATTTATTAAATAATGATAATAAAATGATTTTTATAGAATCAAATAAACAACATACACTTGTTCTTAATGATGCAGATTTTGTTTCATCTCTTAATATTGGTAAAAGAGCATCACGAAGTTCTTGAAATAATTCATCATTTGGTTCGCCAAGTTGAATAAGAAAGATTGAAGTAACCATAGCTGCTAATTTTCCTTCAGATTCATTTCCTTTTTTTAAACATGCTATTAATTGTTCTGTTAAATTTTCACTTCTAAAATATTTAATAAATAAATTTTTGCTTCCCTATTGAAACTATTCATACCGATTAGCAATTTGCTCGGGAAGATATTTTTGTGAAAATAATATTTGAAGTGTTTTCAAAGCACTTTCACGTGATTTTAGACTAAAAATTTCAAAAACGAAAGAAATTTTGATTCTGATTTTAATAAGAAAGTATTTTACTCTTTATTTCGAAGTCCTTCTATTGCTGTGTCAAGTTTTTCTTCAAGATTATCCGATGATAAGATTATGTCATTTGCTGCTACTGCTCCACCTAGAATAGAAAGATACATTGAGATTTACCACTGAATCCTTTGATATTTACCTTCAACATCGTCGTAAATACTTGTAGCGTCGGAAATATTCGAACAAACACTTACACCATCATCAGCAGACATATCTTCATCAGCACCTGCTTTTGTCGTCGTCTTACTCGTCGCACTACGAGCAGCAGCACGAGCTATATATTAAAAAATATTCAATTAACGTTTTCTTAAATTTATTTGAATAAATTTTACTTTTTTTTGTATATTTCGGCATAATATAGATAATTTAAATACGCATATCTATAAGAACAAAAAGAAATGAAACAAAAAGAAATTTAATGTCTTATATAAAAAAAAATCGAATCAAGTTTAATGAATTTTTTCATGTTCCCATATTATATTTTGTTAAAATAATCGATCACTTTTATCCATAGCTAAATGTGGATCAATTTGAAGTTCACCAAATTCACGTGGATTATTTAAAATATCATCAAATGATATATCTTCATTGGTACCACGTAAAACATCAGCCATTAAACGTGAACTTGGTAAACATGGTAAACGACCCATTTTACTGGCTATTTGTAATTCAGTTTTTAATTTCAATGGTGCTTGAATACCTAAAACACTACGTGCCATATGATGATGAAATGTATCAGTTTTCTCAACATAAGTTGTTTCAGTTTTTTCAAGAATATGACCAGTTGTTAATGATGATTTAACTGATGTGATACCTTGCACGAGTTTATTTGGTAAACCAGTATAACTAGATGAATCCATCTGAAAATACGAAAATATGATTAGAATAATTCAATAAGATATAACATACTTTTTGTTCGATGAGAATGAATGAAATTTAAAAACTGAATAAAGATATGGGAAAATCTATAAATATCAGAAAAATTAATCTGCTGACTTAGTACGTAATCAATCTGATGCAGAATGGTTGTAAGCAAGTAAAGAGTGAGGGAATAAAACCATGTTGTGACAAAAGAACCAATCAATTTTTATTAAAATATGTTAACTAGTGACCTCTAAGAGATTGAATGAATATAATGGAAAGAGAGGCTTGTCAGCGTAACAACATAAAGTATGGTTTGAATTCTTTGTTTGAAAAGATCGAATCAGATATTTTATTTTACTTGTCATTGTCTATACAGACAAAGAAATTTTAAATTAATTCGTTGATTGATACAATGAAATGAAAATTAACGATTGATATTAGAAAATGCTGAAAACAAAGGATTCTCAATTATGTGTAACTTACCAATATATATTCATTAGAATATTTCAGTTTTTCTGTTGAACCATTTCAAAATGATAGAGCGGAATATTGTTTAATAAATTTCGTCTAGTGAATAGTAATATGTTTTTCTATATGACGTAGTACGATATGAAATAATTGACAATTAATTTCTTCATATGATCAAAAATAGATTTTAGATCATGGTCATTGTCATCGTATAACTATATTGAAACTGTCTATATATATATATATTTTCCTTATCATTTTGATCAAATCAAGGACATATCCAGTCAGAAATAATATCACAGATTTCTAGATAAATTCACTGAATGTATTGATATTGACTAAAGATTTTGCTCGTACATTATGAAGGTTGATATCAATAATATTCGAAGTATTGACAACTTATTCAACAGTTGAAATGATTTGATCATGATCGGCGCGAAAAAAAATTAATTGCTGAGATATTTTGTACCTATGAACCTTCATCAGAGACATTTCTGGGTTTGTCCTCGCATTTCCAGACATCCGATCGAATAACCGAATGTTAGAAATCGAAAAAAGAACATCAGATCGTTTTACTGATGTCCGAAACATAAAATGTATTTTGTTGCAAAAATCGACCATTCACTCTTGCATACATCCGTCGTTTTCTGTCCGATATCCGAAAAAAAAGCAAGAATGAAAAGGGACTACCCCATATTTCTTTAGTATTCATTGATACACAATATAATAAAAAACTTCTCTCTCTCGGTTTGTTTAGTTCTTAATTGAACTAAATTTATTAAATCATTTCAGAAATAACAATACATTATTTTTTCACAACACTAAGACGATATACAAACACGCAAGAAACAAGGCAAAAAGAAAATATAACTACAATATTATTGAGATAATATTTTTTTCAATCATAAACAACAAAACTAACTCTACGTATAAGAGAAACGAAGAAATTATTAATGCAAGCTCAATATAATATATACATAAATGTCTTTACAAAATATACAAACACATATCTAGAGTAAATAATTCATTATGAACAATAGTGAAATGCAATTATAGAATAAAAAATAAATTGAATTTTTATAATAAGATTTCTTAATTCTTGCGTCGGCGGGTTATTTTAGTTGTTGTTGTATTATCAGTTGCTGTCTTTATTTCTTCTTTTTGATCTAGAAAATAATTAAATAAAATGATATATTGTTCTTTGTCTTTTATTAAATCTTACTTTGGTTTAAATTTGTTTCAATTTTATTAAGTAAAGCAATAAGATCGGCTTTTTTCGCACTTTTTGGTATATTTTCATTATGTTTATTTAAACGAGATTTAAGTTCAGCAACAGTTAATGTTTCGATCTATTGAATAAAAAACATTTTTATTTAACATATATGATAAGAAAACTTTACCTTTTTCGATGCTTCTTGGTTTATTTCAGTATTTTTAACAGGTGAAATAGTTTCTTCTTTCACTTTCTTTTTCAATTTTTCAGATTTATCTACACTTGGTAATCGACGTTTGCTCGTTTTTGTTGGTGCTATTGGTTTAGCAATATCATTTTTATTGTTAGTTAAACCACCTCGTGTTCTTGGAAGATTTAATGGTGCTAAAGAAACAAAAACATAAGATTATTAATAAGATAGATAGTATTCATATATACCTTCGATGGGTTGTATTTTAACTTCAACTGATTTAGAAGTTTTAGCTCGTTTAACACTTGGTTCATTTTTAGTTTTTGAAGTTGCTCGTTTAGTCGAAGTTGGTTCGATGATGACTTCTGGATTTGTTTCTTTCATGATAATTGGTTCCTTTTTAGTTTTTGAAATTGCTCGTTTAGTAGAAGTTTGTTTAACAGTTGGTTCGATTATCACTTCTGGAGTTGCTTGTTTAATGACAGCTGGTTCAATTTTAACGTCCGAACTAACTTGTTTATGTGAAGTTGGTTTCTTAGTTTTTGATTTTGTTGTAATTGGTTTAACATTTGGAACTTCCGTAATTGTTCGTTTTGGTGCAGCTCGTTTATTAATTAATTCAGCTGATACTTCAGGAATTGTTCGTTTCGTAGTAGCTTTAGAAGTTGTTCGTTTTGGTGGAGCGCGTTTAGCAATTGCATTTGTTTTTATTCTTGTATTTGTATCTTTGGTAATTGTTGGTGTATCTTTAGCTTTTGAATTGACACGTTTAGTTCGTGGAGATTTGTTAGATGTTTTTGTTATAGGTTCTTGTTTTTGAATATTTTTCTCTTTTCGTGGTTGACGAGATTTCTTTGAAATTGATTTTGATTTCTAAATAATAGAAATAGATTAATTTATTATAGAAATTTTCTGAAAAAAAGATAACTTACTGATTCGACTTTTTTTGATGGAGTAACTTTTTTCTTTTTTGATGTTATAACTTTCTTTTTTGGTTTAACAGTTTTAACTTTGTTTTGTTTAGGTTCAGGTATAATTGGTGTTGGATTAAGAACAACATCCGGTTTTAATCCACGTAAATTCTCTTCAAATTGTTCTTTAATAGCTAAACGTGCATCAGTTGATGGTGTTAATTGAAAACGAACATTACGTTGTAAATTCGTAAGGCCTTTCAATTGTAATGGTGTTATTTCTCGTTGTTCATCAACAATAACAATTGGTGTTATTTGTTGTGGAGTCATATTAAAACGACGACGTGATACGTCAAGACTTGGAGTTGTTTGAACACCAATTTCCATTGTTGATGCTTGATCAAGACTTTGTTCAGTATCATTAAGTGGTACAATTTCAATATTTTGTTGTTCTGATTGAAATTCGATATTAATTTCTTGTGGAACAGTTGTTGTAAGTTGTTCTTGTTCGCCAATGGAAACCATTTGTAAAGATTTATTTCTTGATGCTGATGGTGTTGATGAATGAAGTGGATTAATGCTAACTCTTGGTGTTGGATGTGATGATGAACGTCGACTTTTACGAATTGAAATTTCAACAGATGATGGTACAATTGATGTATTTTGTACAACATCAGGTTCATCTTCTACTGGATTGGTTAAAAGAATTCCTAACAATGATGAATTCATTGTTTCTTCTTTTTTAGTATTTCGTTTTGAAGTGCGTGTAGATGATGGTAAAACTGATGTTTTTTGTATAACACTTGTTTCAGTTTCAGTTGGTTTTGTTAAAAGAACTTCTAACATTGATTTCGAAACAATTGATGGTTGTTGTTTCATTGTAATTCGTTTTGAAAGTCGAACAGGTGATGGTATAATTGACGATTTTCGTGTAACTTGTGGTTGAATTTCTTCTGTTGGTTGAGTTAAAAGAATTCCTAACATTGATTTTGAAACAATTGATGGTGAATTTGTAACTTCGTTATTAATAATAGTTGGTGTTGAAGTTTCAATAGTTGACATTTCTTGTTCAACATTTGATTCATTGTTAGTTGGTTGAGTTAAAAGAACTTGTAACATTGATTTCGAAACAATTGATGGTGAATTATTTGCTTGTTTTTTCATTGTACTTCGTTTTGAAGTACGAACAGGTGATGGTGGGACAATTGAAGTTTTTTGTGGTGCTTTTGATTGAACTTCTTCTGTTGGTTTTGTTAAGAGTATTTGTAACATTGAATTTGAAGTAATTGGTGATATGTCAATTTCTTCTTCATGTATAGTTGTTTGTTGTGATGTTTGCTTTGGTGTTGCATAGAAAGAATTTAATGTTGAACGATTACGTTGAGATGAACGATGTTTTGGTGTGTTGTATGTATATTCACGTGATAACATTGGTGCAATCGGTTGTGGTGGTGTTGCAATTTGTTCGGATTGAATTGGTGCAATTGGTTTTTGTGGTGTTGCAATTCGTTCAGATTGAATCGATGCATATGTATTATTTTCTTCTTCTAATTCTTTGGATGAACTTGTATTAAGAGTAACAGATATTGTTTTTTCTTGTTCATTTTCATCTTCTTCAGGTAAAGTAACAATCTCAATAAGTTTATTATCATTAATAAAACATTCAGGATTTGTTGATAATGGTTGTTCTAGAAAAATGAAAGAGAAAATTTTTTCTAGAAAAGTTTATTTGTAGAAATATTTACCTTGAATATTTGTATTTGATGAAGCCGAATCAGAAGATATACGACGACAACTTGAACGAAGTGCGCGTGTTGTTGGAGCTGATGAACGAGCTTTATCTAAGAAGACATTTATTTTAATAAGAATTACGAAAAAAAAAATAAATTCAAAATTTTCATACTTGTTTTTGCTAATGGTGAATCAGCTTTAATTGGTTGAGATACTCTTCCACCTGTTCGTGGTTTAATCAAAGCTCGATAAGCAACATCAGCACATGTTGGTGCACGAATTGTTATCATTGGTTCTGCTGGTGGTGGTGGTGGTTGAACATGAACATTTGAGTCATTATTTGAATTATTAGGAAAATCATTTAATTCAAATGAAAAATTTGTTTCATCATCATTATTGCTATCATCTTTTATTGTATCATTATCAGTCATATCAAATGTTGTTTGTTGATTCATAGTTGATGGTTGTTCATCTTCCATTGTAGTATTTTCCATAAGAAATGATGGTGGTTCTGTTGATGTAATACTTTCAATTGTTGGCATTACAGGAATCTCTTGTGATGATGGTAAACTACTTGAACCACCTTTTTGTACATAACTTAAACGTGAAGATCGTCTTGTTGTATTAATAATATCTGTAGGTGTTACAACCGTTAATGATAATGTATCGTGATTTGTTTTAGGTGATTCTCGAACAGTTCCTGTTGAACCAAGACCTAAGAGTTGTTCGAGTGCACGAAATGAATCATCAGATGGTTGATTTATTTCATTTTCTTTAATAAGATTTTCTTTTTCGGAATCATTTAATAATGGTTCAGCAATATTTATTGATGATTCAATTGTAAATGTTGATGATTTATGCATTAATGATGGTTGATTTGGAAGTTCTTCGATATCTTCAGTAATCATTGGACTTTCACTTGGAATTGGTGATAATGTTGTACGAGCAAGACCTGTTTTTCTTTCTTCTTGTTGTTGTTGTTGTTGTTCTTGAATAATTGATGCAATATCTTCTTGTTGAGCATGATGATCGTCGATAATAGTTTGTTCTGTATACCAAACAGGTTGAAGACTAGCATTAATATCAGTTGTTGTAACTGTAGTATCCATTGGCATTTCACCTGGAGCGAGAAGTTTAAGCGGTGTGCGTACTTGCTAGAAAAAAAATATTGAACTTAATATGCGAGAGAGAAGATAAAGAAAATGTTTACTCTTGGAAGACTTTCTTTTTGTTCAAGTAAAGTAGTTGTTTTTCTTGCTGGTGCAGAAGCCATACGGTTAGCTGGTTCGATGGGTCCACGATTTAAATCGCTAAAATTTTAAGATAGATTATTAAGAACGATAACAAAGATATTCAACAAACCAAACATAAGAACTTGTATTTGATAAATGTACGAGCATAATTAGTAGAATTTAGTCGATTAATACCATAAAATTTACTCTAGATAGAGAGGAAAAGTTTTTTAATTGATAGAGAAACAATGTGTGATTCGGGCGAACAAAAGTATTGAAAGAAAGAGAAGGACGAACGGTCATTCAACGAACGATCTAGTCCTTTGTCTTGTATATGAACGACCGGTCTTTGTCTGTTCCCGGCGAACGAACTACCAATCAGATAAGAGAATGAAAGCCTTTGTGTTACTGATGTCGCCACAATCAATGGAATTTATTAGATCTTTGTCTTCCGACTCGTCTTTGTGCTAAATCAAGAAAATGATAATTTGTCTATAACAAAAAAAATAAGAGTCAATATTTCTGTGCATAAAGAATATTATAGTTTTCCTTTGAGTGCTAATTGCAATTATAATATAATTGAGTTTGATATTCTAATGAATTATTCTATTGATAGAAAATTCAAAGATATAGATAATGAAAATAAAAGAATTGAAAAAATGATAATACGAAGTGTGACCATATATCAAAAAGCTCATATCACTTGTAAACTAAGAAAATATCTTTCAGAGGTTATTTCGAAGCATTAGAATAATGAATAACAATAAAATTTCTCCTAATAAATTCTTGTCACTTTTTGAAATCGTTGATAGTATTCATTAGAACACCACTACTTTCATAAACTATTTTATGAAGTGAATCTCATATTCATACAAATGACAATTTCATATCTAAAAGACAAAATGAAGTATACTATATGACTAATGAATAAATTTCAAAATATTGAAGTATTGTTGCTCGTATTATTATTTGCTTTCATATATTTGTATCATTACAATTAGCTACATATAAATTTTTAATTTTAAAAATAATTATCATCTCAGTATTGGATATATTAACATTCATGGTAATGATACGAAAAGTGTATTACTTAGTCTTATATCTAATTATATATTACATAAGGATATATTCTCAGCATTCAAATCGAAATTAATCTATTCATCTAAGATTGAATGATTGCAGAACATTTACTGTATAGTATTCTTCGGCGAGCAAAGAATTTCTTTAGATATTTGCAATGACTTAGTTTATATTATTTTAATTGAAAAAAAAGCAATCTTAAATTTATCGAGTATAGTCATATTGGCATTGTATTTTTAACGTTTTTTTAAACTACGCTTGTATTTTTCGATAAAATATAATTGCGGCGAAGTATAGTCTGAAGAAAAATATTGCTGTTGGTTAGTTTGAACTAGGATTCCACATGCTAGTAAGGTTGGTGCTCAGCTGTTGTAAAATAAACCAAGAATTATAGTCAGGTAATATCTTCATTTTTGTCAATATCTATCAAGACATAGATCCTATTATATTTCAAAAGATACATATGCAAAAAGAAAAGTTTTCGATGTACTTACGTCGCTGGACTAAAGTTTTATAGAATATCATCATACGATTTGAATACTTTCGTTTCATCACATTCAGATAACCATAATTCAATGTTAATTAGATTTTCTCTAATCAACATTCTTGTTTTATCTATCACCGTCTACCAGCGACACTGTTCGTTTGACAATTGTATACGTGCATTTTACTATATTTTAAGTGAATTATGGATATTAAACTTGTCTTATTATAGATAAAGAATGATATACCTTTATATATTTTGCTTAATATTGTTTACTATAGATTAAATTTGAGATTTATTGCTTAGTAAAAATGGATGATAATGATGATCAATATCGTTGGGAATCCGGCTATGAGCGAACTTGGTAAATTAAATTATTTAATAAATTGTCAAAAGAAAAAAAATGAATTTTAATTTAATTTAGGGAAGTTATTCAAGAAGATGAAAGTGGATCAATTAGAGCTACAGTTAATGCTATTAACCAAAAAAATCGACGTAAAGAATTGGCACAATTACCAAATGTTCGCCTTGGCATGGTTAGACTTTAGTTTTTCCAATCTATAAAAATCGAAATTTTTATTTTATTTGATTTAGATGCGTCATCTCTATGTAGTTCTCGATTTATCCGATGCAATGAAAGATCAAGATCTGCGACCAAATCGACTTTTTTGTTCTATTGAAGTTCGTTATCAAACTTTTAAATCTTTTTCTTTATTTAAAAAGTTTTATTTTCATTTAGCTTTTAAAAGAATTTATATTTCTCTATTTCGACTCAAATCCAATATCTCAAATAGGTATAATTATTACACGAAAAAAACGTGTCGAAAAAATCAGTGAATTAGCTGGTAATCCACGTTCACATGTTGCTTTACTCGAACAATTAAAATATCAAGAATGTGAAGGCGAAGCTTCAATTCAAAATGCACTTGATATGGGATTACAAACATTAAAGTACAAAAATTCAATTAAAACCATAAATATTTAACATAACTTTCATACTATTTATTAGACATATGCCAAAATATTCTAGTCGTGAAATGCTTTTCGTTCTTGGATGTTTAACGACATGTGATCCAGGAAATATTTTACAAACAATTAAAGTATATAACAAAAATACTATTTAAAAGTTTAAACAAATAATCATTGATTTAGACATGTAAAGAAAATGAAATTCGTTGTTCGGTGATTAGTCTCTCAGCTGAAGTTCGTATTTTTCGAAAACTATGTATTGATACTAAAGGTAAATAAATATTTTTGTTTATTCAAAATCAATAATTTTTTTTTTCATTTAGGTTTATTTCATGTTATCACGGATTCAACACATTTTCAAGAATTATTACAAATACATTCTCGACCATTACCAGCATTAGATAAATTTGAATCTTCACTTGTACGTATGGGTTTTCCAAAATATCGTACATATACAACATCGAATGCTAATATATCATCAACAACAACAAGTAGTACAAAACATGAAAAAGCATCAATGTGTATGTGTCATCTTGAACAACGTGGTGGAACAAATGGTTTTTCAATTGGTGGTTATTTTTGTCCAACATGTGAGAGTAAATATTGTGAATTACCAACAGAATGTAGTGTATGTCATTTAACACTCGTATCAGCACCGCATTTAGCACGATCTTATCATTTTTTATTTCCAATTGAACAATTTATTGAAGCGTCAATGGATAAATCAGAAAGTAATAAATGTTTTGGTTGTCAACATATATTTGATGAACAAAAACATAAAAATATCTTTCAATGTACGAATTGTAAAAATTTCTTTTGTTTCGAATGTGATCTTTTTATACATGGAACTATATTTACATGTCCCGGTTGTATACGTTATGGACAATTAAAATGAAATGAAATAAAAAAAAACTTCAGATAATAAATAAATACATTTTTTCTAGATGTTTTCTAGACCATTATTTAATCTATCGAAAAAGATTTTATTACAACGAGGAATGTCTATTGAATCACCATATAAAGCAAATATTTTAGAGAAACAAGTTGCACTTGTAACAGGTGGTTCAAGTGGTATTGGTTTAGAAATTTGTCGTCAGTTAGGCAAACATGGTTGTAGTGTTGTGATGATGGGACGACGATTAGAAGTGCTTAAATCAGCAGAAAAGATGTTAGTTGATGAAGGAATAAAAGCATCTAGTGTTCAAGGTGATGTTCGAAATCCTGAAGATGGTATACGAGCTGTAAAATCAACCGTTGAAAAATATGGTCAATTAGATGTTTTAATCAATGGAGCAGCTGGAAAGTGAGATGAATTGATTGAAATTTGTTTCTAAAAATCAAATTTTCTAGTTTTTTATGTGCAGCAGAAAATCTTTCACCAAAAGGTTTTAAAACTGTTCTTGATATTGATACACAAGGTACATTTAATATGTGTCATGCAGCATTTTCTGAAGTAGATTATTATTTATTTTACTTTATATATATTCTTAAACTTTTTTAGCTTCGTAAAAGTTCAAATGCGAATATTATTAATATAAGTACAACTTATCAATATTCTGCTCAATGGTATCAAGTGCATGTTTGTGCAGCAAAAGCAGCTGTTGATGCATTAACTCGATCATTTGCTCTTGAATGGGGTGAATATGGTATTCGTGTTAATGGTATTGCACCAGGTCCTATTGCAGATACAGCTGGTTTTTCAAAATTAGGAGGTTCATTAATTGATTTGAATAGTTCCGATAATCCTTTATTGGAAGCAATTCCTATAAAACGTCTTGGAACAAAATGGGATATAGCTATGTCTGTTTTATATCTTTGTTCAACAGCTGGACAAAATATATCGGGAAGTATAATAATAAATGATGGTGCGAATTGGCTTTATAAACCTCAAATAATTGATCGTGATACTGTTCAAAGTTTTTCTCGTTCGATCGAAAAGAAAAGTCGTCAAGAAGGAATTGCAACAACTTCGAAATTATAATTTCTTTGTTTTAATATTTAATTTTTATTCTTTTATATAAGCAAACAAAAAAAAATAAAGAGAAATACAACGTTTAAGATACAATCACCAGATATATTTCGAATGAAAAAGATGAGAAGAAAAGAAAAAACGGAATGAGAAAAAGAAAACAACGAAAAAGAAGAAGAAGAAGATATGAATAAATAAATAAATATATACCGACTAGTTAAACAACACAAACAAGAGCTAGAGGAAGAAAAATGCTTGTCGTCAAATGTGAATAGAAAAAAGAAAATTAAATATCGGGTACAGATGAATGAAAATATGGTTGAGAATCTTTGACAAGTAAGGTATAACATACATCACATACACGAGATGGGCGATTATTTGGACCACTATAAACAGTTTTATTAGTACAATCTTTACACAGGACTTTACCTATTAATAAAAAAAAGAAAATTTTTTTTTGTCTTAAATCAACTTACCACAATGACCTATTGAAAAACAGAAGAAAAAAAAAGTTTTGTTTAGTGATGATCGAGAAAAAGTGAACTACTTACGACAATGATGTTTCCTCCAAGTAACAGTAAATTGTGAATGACAACGTTGACAATCAGGATAATCTTCTTCAGGTTGCCAACGTAACTGATTTCCGGAATTTCGGATTTCTTCTAATTGCATCTTTTGAAAAGAAAAAATATTAATTTCAATAAGACAAATGATCAAAACAAAAAACTAAGTTATCTCTAACTTACTAACATACTTGAAGCGATTGAGAAAGTTTAACAAAATCATGCTGAACTAATTCACTATTTTCTAAATCAATTTTTAATTTTTGAATTTGTACACGCAATGTAGCATTATCTTCATCAACATGAGCCTAAAAAGTATGATAATACTCAACTTGTATGAATAAATCTATTATGGTTTACCTTTGCATCAGTAATTTGTTCAAGTTTTTCTTTTAATTGATTTGTAAATGAATTTGCAACAGTTTTTGTTGTTTTTAATTCATTCGCACGTTCATCTAATTGTTTTTCAAGATCTTTTTTTAAACTCATCACACGTTCATATTCAGTTTGTAAACTTTGTAAAACAACTAGAAAAAAATAGTTTTTTTTATCGAAAATAAAATTTCAATATTTATTACTAATTTCATCTTTAGCTGAATTTAAATCTCTATTAAGTAATTGTTCAATTTGTTCACGTTCATTTATATCAGCTTTATGATTAAGTTGTAATTGTTGAATATCATTTTTTAATTTTTCTTTCATTTTTAATTGTTGAATTATTTGTTCACGTAATTTAACGATTAAACCCCAAGCTTCCTTAAAAATATAAATAAATCAGCTTTTTTTGAAAAATTGTATATATAAATATTTACTTCATGGGTTGTTGGTGATTGTGATGAATAGGTTAATAATTTCACTGTTTCATTATCATTTGTTATTGTAACAAGTGATGCATTTTCCATTTCTAATCGTTGAATATATAAATGTAATAATTCACGTTCTTTAACAAGTTTTTTTATATTATTAACTTGTTCAGCAAATAAATTATCATAATGAGATTTCATATCACGAAAATCTGCTTCATTTTTTTCTGTTTTTGTTTTTAAATTTGTTAACTAAATATATATATATTAAAAAAATCAATCAATGATCTATTTAAAAAAAAATTTTCAATGAGCGGCTATGATAAAATATATAGCAGCTATATCGATAGTATATTCTCACCCTTAATAACATATATTATTTTTTAATGTCTAGAATGAGTCTCGAAATGTTAACTGAAATATTTTATATTATTTACTTGTTCAATAATTGTATTTGTATCTGATAATTGTTTTTCAAGTTGAATACGTATTTGTTGTTCTTTTTCTTGTTCAGCTTTGGCTAATGATATATCGAACAATAATTTGACATTTTCATCTTGTTTTTGAGTATTTAATAAACGTAATTTATTATTTTCATCATGTTGTTGTGAACATTTATCGCAAAATTTTTGAGATAAATCCATTATTTGACTTATCTAAATTATGAAATACTCGTTAAGATTAACATTTTGTTTTTCTTTTATTTACTTTTCGCCCGTGTGCATTGCTCATCTTTTGACTTTTTTTTTCTATTTATTATATCTAGGATTTATCTTTTCGTTCTGTACTCGTGAGGAAGGAAGCAAAAAAGATATATGAATAACGATGGAGGCAATCGAACTATCATCATGGCAAAAGAAAGACTAACGCGTTTGTCTTTTTCTTTTTATTGGAGAAAAACAAACCTGTGCGAGCAACTCGTTCCAATCGGCTTCTGTTTTATGATAACGTGCGGCATGTAATTTAGTATCATCATCATTATTAGTTGCTTTTGAATCTTGTGAAGATTCTTCTAATTGAGAATCATCAACTGTTGAAGAATTAGTCGTAGATTGTTGTGTTTGCAATGAGTCAGTTGCATTTTCTTTTGGTGGAATAATTTCTAAATAAGAAAAAATAAAAAAATTTATATAAAAAAAAAGATTTTTACCTGTTAAAAGTTTATGTTGATCAGATGTTAATATTGTTAATAAACGACGCATTTGTTCCAATTGTTTTTTTTCAAATGCAACAAAATGTTCATGTGTACGACCATAAATTTGTATATATTTATCTCGTTCATTATTTAAATATTTTTGAGCTAATTTATCTATGAAAAAAGTGTTCTTTTTTATGAATTGAATAAGAAAATTATCTATGTAGTACTTTCAGTCAATTGTGTTGTTAATTCTTCAACTTGATCTTTTAATCTTGAACAATATGCATTAAGACGAACAATTGCTAATTCATACCGTGATGATGCTGATACTGATGTATCATCAGATGAATTTGTTTCTGTTGTTGTTACTGAATCAGTTGATTTGTCGGAAATATCTTTCTATAAAAATATAACAGATAAAATAATTCATAAAAAGATGATAACTCTACGAATGTATTAACAGATAAAATAAGATACATAAAAGATAAGAAATTTTCTATTGTTATAACAAAGTTCACGGAATATATCGTACTATATTATTTTTTCGGCTATTAGCTCTATTTCAAGGTCGTCAGCAGCTGTTTATTTTTCTCAGTCATATTTCTCAAGTATCAGACTATCAACATAGGTAGTCGGTTTTTTTTCAATGCCATTCATTTTTTAAATTACATATTATACGAAAGACAAAAATAATTATGGCTGATCGTCGTTCGAATCAGCATGTTGAACAATTTCATTGGCATCTATGGTTATTATTTGCTATTGAAAATTGGATACTTGATTTTGGTCGTCCAATAGCTATGCTAATATTTCCACTTGAATGGTTTCCATTAAATTTACCAAGTGTTGGTGATTATTTTCATATGATATATAATATAATAACACCATTTATTTTGCAAAGTTTAATATTGAAAAGTCCAAGAAAAGTTAATCAAAGTTTATTTACAGTATTAATGACTGTATTTGTTATGGGTGCAAGTATACATTTAGTTGGAGATTCAATTAATCATCGTTTAGTACTTAATGGTTATCAATTACATTTAAGTGTAAGAGAAAATCCAATGATGAAAAAACTTGATCCACCAAGTTTAATTGATTCATTTGAATTACTCTATTTTTATGATGAAGAACTAGGTCATTATATGTGGTATGTAGAGCAGTCTAATGTTTTTTTAATTCCATCTTTTTTCTTCCTTGTGTACTTTTAGGTATCTACCATATTTTCTATGCTTTCTACTATTTTTTAATAGTACATTTGTTTCAGTACAATCAAAAACAACTCATGCTAAAGGATTTTGGCCATTAGCTTTATTAAATTCAACCTATTATTGGTATTTAGTTACTGAAGGACAAATAACACCATTATTTATAACAACAACACTTCTTATGACAATCATGTGGTTATATCAACGTTTTGTTAATGGAAATCGTTTGGATATAAACGGACGATTTCTTCTTTATACATTTCATATGACAATTATCTTAGTTGCTGTTTGGACAAGTTTCTTTTGGACTGATGAAGTTTTACGAACGAAATATGCATCAAGTTTAATTTATGTACCAGAACCATGGTCGGTTTATTCATTATATGGAAAAAGATTTTTTTAAAGATAAAATTAGATTTTTCTTTATTGGAATATGAAAGTTTTAAAATAAATAAGAAATAAGAAGTTTAATACTTACTGAAATTTGTTCATTGTCTTGTTCATAAGATGATAAGGAAATTTTAACTTCACGTGGCTAAAATCATACAGAAGATTAAATTTATTATAAAAGCTCAGGATTCTAAACTGATAAACATTCAGCTGTATTTTAAATACAGTGATAGAAAGAATAAGAACTAATCTCACTTAAAATTCGATCAATAGGGAAACGTCTTAAGATTATTTAATTAAGAAAAAAATGGAAACTTACTAATGCTTCAAGTTCCAGAATTTTTTCTTTAGCTTCTTTTAATTGATTTTTAAGTTGATTAATTTCTGCTTCAAGTGGAATAATAACTGATTTAAGCATTAATGTACTTTCTTGTGCTTTTCTCATATCTTCTTCAAGATTTTCATTTTCTTGTGCTAATGCCGATTGATTTGATGATAATTTATCACGTAACGATCGTGATATTGTTGCTATTACACTATCTCTGTTAAATTATATGAATTCAATATAATTTTTTTTCATGAAAAGAAAAAAACATTACTTGTCATCGACAACTTTAGATTTTAATTCATAATTTTCTTGTTGAAGTAATTCAAATTTACGTTTTAATATATTTAATTCATTTTCATATTTTCCTCGTGCATCATCAACACGATCACGAATAGTTTCTAAAATACAATAACAAAAATATAATTATTTTGACAAAAACAAAATTTAATTTAATAACCTTCCATTAGAATATTAATTGTTGCAAGCTCTTGTTGATGTCTCTGTCTAAGATCTGCTATTTCAGCTATTTTAGTTGAATCAGCAAAATCTACAACAGCTGTTAAATTACTTAATTGCGTTTGTAATGATTGTAATTCATTTGAAAATTTAATATTATCACTTTGCAATGTCGAGATATAATCTTTAATATTATCTGGTAGTTGAGAAAAATCTTTTTTTTAATAAAAAAAAAATTCTAATATCAATATTTATAGAAGAATATAAAAACTTTTTATTACCCATTGTTTCCGTCATTGCTATTATTTATTACAGAACAGAAATAAGTATAACAAACTGACCCGATCGATTATTATTATTTTTTTTCTTTCTAACCAACAAGATGAGTAAGTTGAGAAAAGAAAAAAAAGATGTCACTATGAACCAAATTGTACTTGTTTGATTAATTTTTGTTGTTTTAATCGTTCATTCATTTGATATTCTTCTTGAAGTAAATGTTGAAAATAATTTTCTTGATAATTAGCAATTTGTGTATGTTTATATTGTCGTAAATCAGCAACTTTTTGAATCATTAATAAACGACGTTGTTGATCAAAATGATTCTGTTCTTGACGTTTTTTTTCATGATGTTCATAACGAAGCATATTCAACGCTTCACTATTAATAGATTATATAATAAAAAATAATAAATTTTTATTTTCATTTTACCGAGCATCACGTAATTCAGTTAATTTTTCTTGAAGTGTTTCATAATGTTGACGTTGATGATCTAGATCATATTTTAATTGTTCAAGATCATTTGCGCATGTTTGGAGTAATATAAAGGCAGAGAGTAATGCAGTATCACTAATAACATCACGATTACGTTGATCTAGAAAGATTGAATTATTATAAAGTAAGTAGCACTTGAATAAAGTGGGTGATTGAGAAGAAGAAAATTATAAATAAATAAGAAATATTATTTTAAGGGTTCAGTGGAAGATCTAGGACTTTGGAAGGGAGAGGGATGGGGATAGGCGATTTTTCAGTAGGAAGAGGCGATACCTGGAGAGGAGAGGGGCAATTTTGGCTAAAAACTATTTTTTGAGTCCAATCGAAGTAGTATGAACCTATTATTTCTGTAAAAAATCGAAAAAATTTTCTGAAGGGGGAGATCGTCTCCCTAAATTTGCCACTGTAAGAGTTTTCACATATAACTAGTATTGATCATTCTTTTTGACTTTAAAATTCTGTTCTAAGATATTTTTAATTAGTTATAAAATTTTTATTTATCCTTCGTATTTGATATGAACAAGCGAACTAAACTTCCGTCAACAAGATCACCAGAGGATATAATCATTGAAAGCAATAATTATTAAAATTAGTCTAATAAGCTTTATCTCTTCCTTTTTTATTATTATATAAATGCAAGTACAGTTCCTTGTCGGATTTCCACTAGAATTATCCTGTTGAATTTCATTGGATATATTCAAATGAATGAATAGAAAAAAAGAGTTTGATATATCTATCATGTGTAATCAATTAAATACGTGATATGATTTGGGATATTAATTTTTCATTACATTAGTTTGATATTATCTCAATCATTTCAACTTACAATTGCTTTTTGCTCTATTCATAAATCTTTCAATTGCTTCTCCCGTTTTTTCTAACAAATCTTCTCTATTATTATTCGGTTTATTTTCAATTTGAATATCTGTATCATCGTCATCTAATTTTCTTTTTTGTTTCATTTTTTCATCCGCATCATGTTGTGATAAGGATATAGCTAATGCTAATTGATAATCATCATCATCGATATAACTTTCTTGTTTTTTCGATTGAGAATATTGAAATAAGTTTTTTATACATGTCGTACATATTCTTTTTATTTTTGGAAATTTTTCAATTAACAGTTTATAATCATCAGATATTTGTAATTCTGTCCAACATTGATTACAATGTTTTTTTGAACAATAGAAACATTTTTTAAATGTTTCTAAAAATTTTTCTCGAATATGACAACGTATACAAATATTATCTTGAGTATTTGTTGTCATTAAAAATAACGAAAAATAAATAAATAGATAGATAAATAAATAGAGAAAATTTTTTATTATGTTGACAAGGAGATTTTTCTTTTCGAGAATTTTGAATGAACTATTTTGTAGTTAGATTGAAAGAGAGAAAAAAAGAATCGAAAGGACAAGTACATTTTGTTGAATAGATGTGGAGGTATAACGAAAAGAACGAGAGAACTAGGCAAACAAATATGAGAACGAATAGATGAAGAGAAGAAAAAAAACGTTGAGGGTAGACAAATATGTATGATACACCGAGAGACATGTACATTATATACCTATTTTAATCATTGAACTTACTTGCCCGTTGACAAGTAACGAGTTGAAGAGTTTCGTTTGGTAAGAATATGAATGATGTAACACAACATTCGCTCCTATATTTTTTTTTATAGAGGTCAAAATGATATTTCTTTTTATTAGTCTCTCCCTTTCTACAAGGTTGTATTAGGTTTTAGTTGATGATAGAATGATATTTAAGTTTTATTACGACGAGAGAAATAAAAAAGACTAGTACTTGAAAATGTGTGATTATAATTAAAACTTCATTTCTTTTCCGAATGTATATTTGATCATTGACAATATAAGTTGAGGTCATTCATTGTCACCTCTACGTCTGGACATCATGAAAAAAAATCATACTCCTTTTTTTTCTTTTGTCTGTCTCGTCGTTTGACCTAACAATCGAAGGAATAACGGTTTTTAATTCATGTTATTCAAGAAAAAAATAAGAATGTCTGCTACTATTCATAATACATTCGGTCAGTAGTAGTCGTCGTACATTGACAAAGGTGAGACAAACATGTATTGTACGATTTTTTTTTCATTGACCGAGACAAATCCCTATTGATTCATCAGCTGAGGAAATAAAAGGGGAAGAAAAAGAAAAAAGAAAGTAATTGTCTTCTTTACTCGAGCAAATATAAAACAGGATGGTATATCATTCCCAATATATAATTAGCAAAATAAAACTAATCATACTAAGGTTATATGTTTCAGTACTTTTTAATATAATAATTTTGTAGATATAAGAAAAAAAATGAAAGAGAATTATTTATTTATTAAGCCAGATATATTTATATATAGTATGCAGCAAAGTCTGTCGGGATAAAAGTCATGCTTTATTCTTTTTTTTTTGAAAAACTCATATTATATATATATATATATATGAGATTTTTATTTAATCATGTTTAGCGAGTTAGAAAAATATTGAATTAGTTCACTGGATCTGTCATATTCTTTTTATTTCGTAGTTTTTATATTATCATATCAATCATAACTTGTCTCTTGTTGAGAATCATTAAGTTTTTCTCTATCGTAGACAGTCATTTCTTCTTCTTGATTAACCAGCGTGAACAAAAAAATCAATTCTTTTCTTTTTTCACGTCTTCATTTCCTTTCTCTGTTTCTTTTCTATTACAACATAATCATATATAGTCAGATGATACATTTTATATCTATTTTGCAAATCAATGCTTTTCCCTTTTGTGTAAAGAAAAACGATTAGCAGGTTCTATATAATCATTCGAAATTAATAAGGTAAAAGAAAATGACGAATATTTTATTTCTTTTAGATGTAATGTTTATTATTCTTATATGTTGTTATAATATTAAAAAATCCAAATGAATCAATCAATGTTAAAATTTATTAGCAAATTAGCACTAGTTATACTATGCATTCTTGGACTTATAGAATTAGGATTAGCTATATGGACAGTTCTTGAAGATCAATATAAAAGTTTAGCATATAATCTTGCTGATGTTGGTTATATTGTAAGTTTTTACTCATACGAAGAAAATTAAAGTTAATAATGTTTCTTTTTTTTGTATAAAACAGGATTTATGGATGTTAAGATATTTATCTATGTGTTTATTTGCTTCATCAATTATTACATTAGTAATGTGTCTTATTTTATTTTGGGGTTTATTATCAGCACATATATTTATATTTATTTCAACAACAATGATTGGTTTAGTTATTATTGCAGAATTTATAATATCGATATTAACATTTACAAGTAAATTTCAAATGAGATTAACACTTCAAGAACAATTACCAAAATTAGGTAGATTGAACTTCTATATATATATGAATTTATTTCTATTTTGTTTTTGTTTAGTAATCACTTATCGACAAGGTAACGATGAACGAGCTACTCGAGCTTTAGATATTCTTCAATCAGCATTTCGTTGTTGTGGATCTGATGGACGTTTATCATATCAAAATAATGTTCCATTAAGTTGTAATATGTATAGTATTGGATGTCTTCAACGAACAATGTATTTTATTGATTCGTGTATGGATGTATTGGCTTATCTAATATTATTATTTAGTTTAATAAAACTTCTTATTGTTATATTTTTCTATTCATTTCTTTGTATACAACAACGACATCGAAAAAAACATCCAGAAGAACATCGTCAAACATTGAATGATTCAAATCATTGGCGTCAATCATCTAGTTTTGATTCATCATCATCAGAAAATATTCCTAAAAAAATTCTTCTATCACCATCAGCAATAGCAAATCAACGCGAAAATCTTCACCATGATAATGATTATAATGAAAAACGACGTGTTATACTTAATGATTATGATTCTCATTCACCAGATAAACGAGTACAAAATGCAGCTATACTTTTATCGTTACCACTGCCATCTTCAAATACGAATCTTTTACCATCAACATTTGAACAACAAACATTAAGGAAATTATCATCGATATCAGAAAAAACCGAAAAAACTGAAACAGATGATAGTGAACCTGATCTTCTACGCATTAAACAATATAATCCAAAAAGAAAAGCAATTATCACTGCTGTTCATCAGAAACAACAACCACCGCCTCCACCATTACCAAAATCTCTACCACATATTAAAAATCGAAAACAAATAATAGGCGATGATGAAAATGATCATGATTCAGGTGTAGAACATTCACCATCGGAAAAATCTTTTGATGAACAAAATTCAAGTAAACGACGTTCGACTACTCCAACATCAGTTGATACAAATAGCAAATCAAATATATCAATTAAGAAATCAAAAATCCCACCAACACTTAGTTTTTCGAATGTTTTTGTAACATCTGTTTCTCAAGGCGATGGAAATATACGATCGCATGATGATGAAGTTAAAAAACCTTTAACAGCATCTCCATCAACTTCGTCATCATTTTCTGATCAATTATTATTAGCGGATATAACAACACCTAAACCAATATTAAAAAAATCTATTCAACAATCATCACCATTAAGTGAACCAGATCGTATTCCACCAAGTTATCAAGATCAAAAGAAAATTTTACCAATTATAAATACAAAATCTTATGTAAAATTACCAGAATTTCATTTAAATAATAATCTAACAAAAATTTATGTACCTTATAAACCGAAAGAAACTCCTTTACTACATAAAATACCAAAACCAGCTCCACGTCCAAGTCTAAAACAATCGTCAATGGAGAAACACAATGAAAGTCTTGTTTAAAATCTCATTGTTTGCTTTTTTATTTAGAAATAAATCATATACATAGTACAAAATCTATATTTGCATTTTTGTATAATCTTACACTTAAATAAACGAAAGTTTTTTCAATAATTATCAAAAATGAATTGATTATTTTCTAATACAATGTACAATCATAGAAGTTATTCTGAACTAATTAGGGTTGCATAACTACAAAGATAATTGTCTAAAGTTAATCATATAAGATTATGCATGTCTTAGATTAATGCAATCGGAAAGATATTTCTAAACAAGAATACTAACATAGTTTTATAATTGCTTGTGAAATTTTACTATTTGATAATGGTTATAGTAGGGCACGGCCAAGCGTTACGGAATTTCATTTTTTCAACTTGCGAGAAATGTACCTCCCTGATAACAAGAGGGATGTTTCTGGAATTTTTACCATATATGAAGATTAACTAGCTATATTAACACGAAAAATTTCACTGATTCGTGGCGAGCCATAATGGAGTTATATGAAAAACATCGCTCGTTACGGAATTTCAAAAATGGACAAAATTTTGAGGAGAGTCTGGCGGTACGGTATTTCATCACTTGTGTTATTATGTTCTCGTTGTTTTCTTATTATCGTTTTCGCGCTCTATAAATATATTGTCGAGTGGTGCGAGTTCACTTCATGCATATATAGAATAAATTGTTATACACACTCATCTTTCATCTCTTGATATTGACTATCTGGCATAGTGTATGCTGCACATCTAGGCATCACAGGGGGGGGGGGCAGATTTCAACATTTTTCTCCGAAACTAAGTGACTCATAAATGAACTTTTTATACATAGATTGTTCAGCTTTTTACAAGCTCTGAGAATATCATGTCCTTTTCTCTGTAAGACATTTCCTTTAAACAAGACGACTTAAAAGATTGAGCGTTACGGAATTTCCGCAATTTTCTCTTTCCCCACGAGGGACACTTTAGTGCCATTTTTATGATAATTTTAACTATGAAATCTAACTTTTTTCATCCCGTAACGATTAAGAATATTGTTTATTATAAATCGATTAGTTCATTTTTACCTTTTTTTCAAAACTTTATAGAAAATTTCGTAATTATCTATGTTTTTAAACTCGTAAGAAAGACAAATAATATTGGATTTATATGTCAGCTGAGTAACTCGGAATGCTAAACAAACTTAATAATATTTCAAGATCATACTCTCTGTAAAAAAAAAATTTCTGTCTATTACTCATTTTAAACCTGCATCAGGGGAGGTGACCGTGACCTGGCCGTGCCCATATATTTCTGAAGAAGAAGCCTAAAACATCGTAAAATATAAAAGTTTTGTGTGTTTACTATACTAAAGTGTAGAAAGTAATAAATGTTGATATCAACCATGATCCTATAATAAAACTGTCAGTCATTGTTTTGTTATTTATTAAATAATGAAAACAGATTCTAGAAGTGTATGCATTTTTATAAACTTAACAAAACTTTTTTTCGCTTGAAAATGATAAAAAGGTAAAAGAACGAGTGATAACCTTGTACTGTGATGAATAGGACGAGGTGGAAGAAAAAGAAAAAAAAATTTCATAGCAACAAAAAACTGACTGAAACGCAGTAAGTTGTAGCCTTTCTTTTTATTCTTTTCTTATTCCACTAAATAAATATGATTATTCTACTTGCGTGACTCACTACCTTAGAATTAAAATATTTGCGAAAGAATAATATTGGTGTATATATACTACAAGTAAAATATTATTGAAATGATATTTTTCAAAACACATGTATGTCTTAAGTGAATAGTAAAATGATTTAATAAACAAACAATTTATACTTACCTTTTTTTCAGAATTAAATTTCCTAGGTAATACGATTATGTATATATTAAAACGATGGACTTGCCGTAAAATATCATTATTTACTATTCTTATTTTATTGCTTTGTTATATGTCATATTATTATTCAATAACGAAAGTAAATCAACCTTACATTCCTAACATTCGTATTAGATCTATTGGAAATATTTTATTTAAAAAAATATCTGTTGTTCATTATACAACAACATTTGGGAAGCGTACAGATTCTCATTCGGATCTTTTCAATACAAATTTAAAACAAATATGTGAAATACTTGACCCTGAAGAATATCTATATGCTGATAGTGCTATTGTTTCTCTTGTTGATTTTGTTCGGTTTCCGTCATTAGTAAATAAAAATATTTCATATAGAAATAAATATCAATCACAATTATGGTTATTACATATTGAAGAATCCCCAAGAAATTCTTATAGAACAGTTCAAATGAATAATATAATTGATCTAGATGATTGGTTTAATTTAACAACAACATTAAGACCAGAATCTGATCTTCATATTCAATATAAAGTATATATATATTCTATATTAAAAATCATTAAAATCAAATCTTTTATTTTAGGGATATCGTATCAAACCTGAAATAATAAATCTTATTACAAATAAATTAAATCTAACACATAATTATCATCCAACTGATTCAAAAATTTTCAAAGAAATAAATATATTTAAAAATCAAAGTTCAATTTATCTAAAAACACTTGCATCTATTCTTAATCAAGAATTCAATGATCGACAAAATAACTATTTAAAGGCTTGTCCGTTTACTTGTAATCAACCATTATCAAATGATTTAGTGCAATCTCTTCAACCATATTTAAAACCAATAATTCCACGTATTTTAAATCGTGATATTGTTCATATTGCATGGTTTGTATCAAATTGTGATAGTCATTCTGGTCGTGAAGAATATGTTTCTAAATTACGTTCACAACCTGGTATTCGTGTTGATATTTACGGTGAATGTTCATCAATATTTAATAAACATTTTGTACCAATACAATGTCGAAAAGGAACACCAAAATGTATGGAACAAACTCTATCTAATTATCGTTTTTATTTAGCATTTGAAAATTCGAAATGTGATACATATATAACAGAAAAATATTGGATGCAAGGTCTTAGCGGAAGAGCTATTCCGATCGTATTAGGTGCTAAACGAGAACAATATCAACGTATAGCAGTACCGAATTCATATATTCATGTTGATAATTATCAAACAATTGAACAACTTGCTCACGAACTTCATCGTTTAAATAAAAATGATTCCGAATATATTAAATATTTACAATGGACACAATTATATGATGTAGGAGGAGATTATTCACCGACAGCAAGATATGATATGTATTCCACACTTTGTTTTCTTGGTCATTATCAACGATTACATGCAATGCAACAATATACTAAACAGAGAACTTATTTACTTAGACGTATACGTCAAATATTTGATTTAGAAAATGTACGTCTACCAAATTTTAATTGGGAAACAGCTCGAACTAAATTAATCAAAATTAGTAAATTTCATAATCCAAAAGTAAATTGTTGGGATAATGATTATCCAACATTTCTAAAACGTGCATATAATTTTTTCTTTCTATGGTCGAAATTGGTTTGATATTTTACGATATTTTGTCAGATATAATCGTTCTACGTGTTTTGTTTTTCTAAATAAAATAAATTATCTCTATTTCTAATAATAAATCTGGTCTTGGCCAAAAGTGTGTTTATTGCTCTAAATAATTCTTTAAAAAAGTAAAATTCCCTTTTCTTCTTCTTTTTTTTTTTATTATCTTGTTTTATATTTGATGATACACATAAACAAGAAGAAAACAAAAACATTTGCAAACATCCAATAAAGTTGTTTGTTCACTTGTTGTTTGCTTATTTTTTCTTGGCATCTTTGACAGAAGCTTTCTTTGTACCACGTACTTTCTTCATACGATTTTTACGTTCTTTACGTTGTTTTCTTGCGGTTTTCTTTGGTTCAGCAAGACCTTGTCGTGTAAGACGATAACGTGGTTCAAATTTTTTTGCAAAGTCAAGTGTATCATAAATAAGTGCAAAACCGGTTGATTTGCCACCACCAAAATTTGTATGGAAACCGAAGCAAAAGACCAAATCTGATGTTGTTTTATAAAGTTGTGCTACTTTTTCGCGGATTTCTTTTTTTGAGAGTGAAGCACGATCTGAATGAATAACATCAACGACCATTTGGCGACGACATAAAAGTCGATTAGACTTAAATTTACGAGTGCGAATTGTACATGCTGAATCAGACATTTTTTATGTTGGTACAAGCACCTGATCTGAAAGAAATTTTAAAAATATTTAAAAATATCTATATAAATATGTCGAATATGTAAAATAAAAAATCGGATTATTAATGTAATAAAAAGAAAATATATAAAATCGAGCGATCTGTGTAGATGATCAAACATTATTTTAGTTTGTAAAGTAAGCAAATGAAACTACAATTTTATCGATGTAAAGTATCTAACCAATCCCATGCCGAGGTTTGTAAGTTCCTCCATACGATGATTGGTTGATCCAGATTTTGTTAACCATCCATTTATTTGTTTGTTTATTCTAGTTAAATTTAATCAAATTAATCGAAAATTATTTTTTCTCATCCTTTTGCGATGGGTGAAATAATGCCTATCGTTATAATTGAATCTCGTGAACAGGTAGATAATGAAATACCTGAATTAAATCTCAAATATGAAAATTCCAATGTTCATGGTATTCAAACATTAAAATGTCTTGATGCTATGCGAAAAGAACGACAATTATGTGATGTGATATTAACTGTTCAAGGCCATGAATTATTTGCACATCGAGCTTTATTATCATGTCATTCCAATTATTTTTTTGAGCTTTTTCGTAATGATGAAAATGATACATCGACAAAAAAACAGATCTATTATCAAATGAATAATCTTGAACATACAGCATTGAAATTAATTATTCAATTTATATATCGAGGAAGGTAAATAATCTTCAACAAGAAATAGTTCTTTCATTTTGTTTTGTATGTGTTTAGCTTTATTTTAACAGCAGAATTGGTACCAAAAATATATTTGGCATCGTATCAATTACGTATTGAAACAATTTTTAAAGCTTGCTCGAACTATCTTAGTGAACAACTCACAGAACACAATTGTTTGAGTATGTTATGATTTATGAGAATAGTTTCTCATTAAAATCATTATTCTAAAGGTGACTGCAAAAGTAATTTCTATGCTCTTACGCAAAAAATAAACCTTTTCTATTCATTTAATTATCTTAGGGTAAATGGGTCTCTTTACTTTTTTTAATTTTATTGCTTACACTATTTATAGTATCTTCTAATTTTCATCTTCTATCTAGAATATAAATCTTTAAAAAATACATAGATTTAATATGTTATAGAAGGATTTAAACCGGGGACTTGCAAAGTAATTAGAGTCATGGATAACCATGACCTAATCTCTGAATGTCGGTGGCTATAGTGTAGGACAAATAATAGTTTTGAACTTTGAAAAATTTAACACGTCAGCAAACATTTAAACTTCTTACAATTCTATAGAACATCTTGACATTTTGCAATGCACGAGTACACCTGTTCAACTATAGTGACGTCAATAGTCTAATCATCAATAAAGTTAGAGTATATGCTGACCTATTAGATACTGGAGATTTTGAATATACTATAAAATATAAACGATGACTTGACGATGTGTATTTTCCACAAAATTCATAACTGAAAAAATTTCCCCGAAATTCTAGTGGTTTTCCCGTAAAGTTTAATGAAAGTCCATAGAACTGTAAAAGCTTAAAATGTCGTTAATTTTCTTTGCTTTCGCTTATGCTTCTAATAACCAAAACTATAAAATTGGAATTGCTTGAAAATCCTTAATTCTTGAAATCAGATACTTTCTGAAGTTTTGATCAAATATTTGAAGCTTCTATAATTAGTGTTCGTGTTTCGTAAAGCAAAAACCCTCACAGGTTAAACATCGTAGAAACTGATCATTGAATAATGCTGATAGTTCTTGATAATAGTCTAATATACAAAGAAATGATTTTAAAAATAGAGAAAATATAATTAGTATTATCTTGCTAGCCTTCTTCTTATAGAAAAAAATAAAGTGATAATATTTTTTAAATTGTTTTTCCTATTTTAGGCATACGCTTATTAGCTATGGACGATGAACTTCGTGAAAAAGCAACTGAATGTATTCAAACAAACTTTACTGCTGTTCTTGAAACTCGAGAATTTCATACATTGGCAACAATTAAATTAGAATTAGTTGGTGAGAAGAATAAAAATTATTTTTATATTATTTGATTATTTACAAAAAATAAACTTAGATTCAACTGCCCTTAAACCTAAAATAACATGCGATTTAGTTATCAATTGGATTGTTGAACAACTTGATAAAAATGATAGTAATCTTCAAGAACTCTGTGAATATGTATGAAAATTAAGAAAGAATTTTTGTTCATTGAATATAAAAGGAAAACTTATTATTCTAGATGCATTTACTTTATCTTAGTGGTAAAACTCTCCATGATTGTGCTGATATGGATGATAAAAATATACATTTTTCTGATATAATCAAGGTAATATTGTATATTTATTGTTGTTTATTATTGATAAAATGATAATTACGAATAGGATTATCAAAGTTATAAATTAACCAAACGAACTTTATCAACAGCATCATCATCAAATAGTCAAACCGAGAATTCTATTTTTGAAATAATGAATTCACAATTAAACAATCTTAATTTATTATCAAATTCTCATATATCCGATGCAAAACTTATTCATATGTCTCAATCAAGTGGTTAGTTATATTAAATTCATAATTTTCTTCTTTTATTATTATCATTTATTTTTAAGAACATAGCTATATTGCAATTGCCATAATAAAAGGCAAAATGCTAAGTATTTCTATCCATATGTCAGTAGGATCATCAAGTCCAAATACACCTGAAAAAAATAATATTAGTCCTTTGGAAAAAATTACTGCTGATGATAATCAAGCGAATGTAATGAGTCCAATATTAACATATGATAGAGATATTACATTAGGATTACTTTCAACAGCACGTTGTTGTTTTGGAATTGCATCCATAGATGATAATATCTATGTCGTTGGTGTGTATTGATATTTCCTTTTTTTCTGTATCTGTATTTTATAATTTATTATAGGTGGTTATAACCGTGGTGATTGTCTTGATTCAATTGAACGGTTTGATCCCAATGAAAATAAATGGGAATTATTATCATGTTCAATGAATAGTCGACGAGGTCGAGTCTCAGCTACAATTGTGAATAAGAAAATTTATGTATATGGTGGTAGTGATGGTCAAAAAGAATTGAATAGTGGTGAATGTTTTGATTTAAAGACTATGGATAAATGGTCAATGATAAAAGAACTTTCAACACCAGTTGCACATAGTGGTAAGTTAATTTATTTAATTTAAAATCAATTAGAATATATATATATATTTGATATACATATAGCAATGTGTAGTGATGATAATTATGTATATTTAATTGGTGGAATGGAAGGTGATAAATGTAAAAATGATTGTTATCGATATAATCCAAAAGATAATACTTGGTCAGCTTTAGCTTCGATGAATACAGAACGAAGTCAAGCTGGTATAGTTTATTTTAATGATAAAATTTATGTCTTCGGTGGTTCAACATTAAATCGATGTTTATCATCATGTGAAATATTAACATTATCAACAAATCAATGGACAGTTGGAGCAACAATGAAAGAAGCTCGTCGAGGTTGTGGCGCAGTTTTATATCATGATAAAATATTTATTATTGGTGGTTCAAATGGTATTACATCGTTAACATCGGTTGAAATATTTGATCCAATAACAAATGAATGGTTAACGAATCTCAATAGTGTCCCAAATGTATTAAATATGCCACGTGTTGGTCTTGGTGTTACTGTTTGTTGTGATAAAATATATGTTACTGGAGGTTTTGATGGTCGAACATTCCTTAAATCAACTGAAATTTATGATGAGAATACTCAACAATGGCATTTAACTTATAATAATATCAACAAATCAGATACGAAGATTTGAATCAATCAACTAAAAGATGATCTTAAAACATTATTATTTTGACTATCATGTCTAAAAAAAAACAATCCGTGTGTTTTGGCTTTTTTTTTATATATATGTATACATATATATATATCTTTTGGAATAGTTTCTCTGAACAAAAGTTCTGCATTTCTCATTATTAATTTATATTTGCTTTGCATGTAGTATTTCATCTTTTTTGCCAACTTTTTCTTTCGAATATCGATGTGAATATAGCGTTGAGGCCTTCTTGTTTATAAGATTATATATACATACACGAAACAACGAGAATAAAAGTGATATTATTATCGTGTGTGTTATACATATATATTGATATACAATTGTTTTTTCTTTTGTTAATTTGATAAGCACAAGTCAAGTATTGATGAATTTTGGAATCGAAACTTGAAACCTTGATGAATACTATGATGACTGACAAGTCATAGAATGATGAATCAGTGCAAAGGAAATCAAAACTAGACATTCTTTAACGCAATAATTTAAGCAATTCAATGTATGTTGAAGACAAAACTAATAATTGGAGGTATTTGTACTGAAAGTTACAAAGATAAAATATATTTTAGATTAAAAACAAGGGGTTCTTCCCAGACTAACAAGATTAAAATATTAGCGATCCCTGGTTTATCCAGACAAAGAATTATTCGATTCTTAATATATGCATGATTCAAGTAGATAGAAACATTAGGATTATTTACATCGATTTTTTGTGTCATCAATCGATGAAAGAAGTACCTAAAATATCATCTTGACTTTGACCTCTTATATTGCATCTACGTAGACTTTCGACTTCTCCGGTGAATTTTTACTTATGGAATGAATCAAAGTCACGATGAATGCTCTATCCTTGAATTTCTGTATTTTAACGGTGATTAAATTTTCTAATTCATTTGCGACATATGTTCGTTTATCAGACACAATCTTTAATCTTATGTTATAAATTCACCAACGAAGTCTAAAGCGCACTTAGATGCAATGTAAGAGGTTAACCACAAAAAATCGATGTAAATAATCCTAATATTTCGATCTACTCGAATCATGCATATATTAAGAATCGAATAATTCTTTGTCTAGATAAACCAGGGATCACTAATATTTTAATCTTGTTAGTCTGGGGAGGAGCGCTTGTTTTTAATCTAAAATAATATATCTCATCTTTCTAACTTACAATACAAACACTTCCGTTGTAAAAGTTAAGTAGAGATGGCTGTGACCCTTTTATTTTATGGTTTTACAGATGGAATAACTGAAGCATGCAATTAGATTATTTAAACAACTAAAAAATGAGTTACTAGTTTTTCATGTATTATCCTTGATTACACGTGGAACCCTTTAGAACAGTGTTTGGAACATAGATTTTTTCTATACCGACTACAAGTAATGAAAGAATGCATGTGAGACAGAGATGTGGACAATACTTATCCACCTTTATGGTACATCTACTGCATATATGACTGTGTTTGTAGATTTAATAGAATCTATAGAGTGGAATACTATAAATAAAATATTTCATTAAAATGCTCAACTGACATGCGAAACATTGACGACAAATATTTTATATCTACTAGTTATTACAGTAGAGAATATGTTGTTGTTTACATAATTTATTTCTATATAAAAACATATCATAACACTGAAAGATACTTAAAATTGATTTATGATAGGTATATATATATTTTCAAGTACTAATGTCGAATTTCTTATATCAAAAGGATGGTTACTCTTACTTTCTAATAATCAAAATTTTAATATTTATATTGGGGAGGATCAATGATTTATTCCCTCTGTTTTCATATTTATGCTTCTTCTTCTTCTTAATGACATTGATTCCGAATAGCTGGCTGTCTTTCAGTTAGTAGTACACAAAGACTACAATCGAGGATAATCGACCAGTAAAGAACTGATAGTGAAATTGTCGGAACGGAAGAGATAGATAGACAGTGCTAGAATGAATTTTTATATATTTGATTATAAGAAAGAACTGATGATTATCTCTCTTTCTGTCTTTCTTTCTTTGTCCTTTTTCGTCATCGATGATAGAGAGAAAGAGAAACTAAAAAACACTGGTAAACATATAAATCTACAACGAAGAGAGAGAGAGAGAAAAAAAATGAGGAATTGGTTTTAGAAAAGAGAGAATATGTACTTGTCATCTTTGGGCGGAGTTAGACGACTAGAAGAACTAACGATAACAATAACAAGACAATCATCATCCATGTTAGAACAATACAAATCATGGATCAAGATTAGAAAAATCGTGTATCTACAAAACCTTATGCAATTTTAAAAATTATAATACATACGTTAGTTATCAATGTTAATAGACATTGAGTGAATTTATCCGATGTCGTCGTATATTTTTCGATTATGTTTTATCATCAACATTTGCGATTGATTCTTATGTTTCAAATATTGTATATATTCATCATTCGTGGGTAGGTGTTTCTATTTATTTAGTTTATAAAAGACTAAGCATTAAGGTTGATAGAATAATAGCTTTTACTATTGATGCATTTCGATTTTTTCACAATCAATTACATGAAAAAAAAGGAGGAGAATTCATTGGAGTGAATTGAGATGGATCACGTACAACGTATTGTTCGGTATTATCCTTCATCATATAATGCATGATTTTGTCGTAAATAGAAAGAGAAAACTCAAATAATCTAGTCAATAGGAAAGAAAGAAAGAAAAAAAAATAAATACTCGACAAATCGATAGGATTGTATGAGTGTATGCATGATCGAATCCTCATTAGATTTGTTCGGTTTTTCTATTTATATACAATATAATAAATAGATATCTTATTTTAGAAATCCGAAGTACCTAAAACTGAACTAAAACTACACATGCAGACTATAAATAAAGATAAATTCATTAATTCAATCGACATTGATATAAACAAAGCTCTTGACATATATTTCTTTCATATGAATTTTCAAAATAAGATTTGACAGATTCAATGAGTAATAAATTTCACTTATATATTTATATTGTCAGTTGTACAAATCATCAAACTCTCTCGACATACAACAAAATAATAGAATAATGTCTTAGATTTATTTCTATAGCAAGGTTTTAACAAAATAAACTTTTTTTTTTAATATACTTCTTATACTTTTATAAAATGAACTATTGAATAATAATTTTTCCCGATTTATCAAATATAGCATCGAAAACAAGCATACATATATATGAAGAATGCTTAGAACTATAATATTGTTTTGTTAAAAATGCGAATAGATAGATGACATTTTAATCGATTTTCTATTACTATATATATATGATAATTCTTAAATTATAGAAGTTCACAACGAATGACTGCTAGTCGTTTGAAGAATGCTTCAGTACAAATTGAAGATCTTCTTAAAGAATACGACATTCGTCTACGTCCATCCTTCGGAAGTATAAATTCATAATCATTCTCTCTTATTTTTTTATTAGAGATATATCCATTTATAATTTAGATGAACCATTATTATTAGATATTGAAATACGTTTAGCAAGTTTTGATAGTATATCTGAAGTTAATATGGATTATACATTAACACTTTATTTAAATCAATATTGGCGTGATGATCGTTTAATATTTGGTAATAAAACTGAAGAAATGACATTAACTGGTGAAATTATTGATAAATTTTGGTTGCCTGATACATTTTTTCCCAATGATAAAAGTGCATATTTACATGATGTAACAGAAAAAAATAAAATGATACGTTTAAGTGGTAATGGAGATATTCTTTATGGTATGAGATTTACAACAACATTAGCATGTATGATGGATTTAAGACGATATCCACTTGATAGACAAAATTGTACAGTTGAAGTTGAATCTTATGGTTATACACAAGCTGATGTTATTATGCGTTGGAAAAATGGTCGAGCATCTATATTAGATCTTGATAAAGTTCATTTACCACAATTTACTATAACTGGATTTGATACGATATCATATGGAATTTATTTAGCAACAGGTAAAATAAATTTCTGCAAAAAAAAAGAATTTTCTTAAATATATTTTTTGTCTAGGTGTTTATCAACGTCTTTCGTTAAGTTTTATTCTTCAACGAAATATAGGTTATTTCTTATTTCAAACTTATCTCCCCTCTATTCTTATTGTCATGTTATCTTGGGTTAGTTTTTGGATAAATCATGAAGCAACAAGTGCACGTGTTGCATTAGGTATATATAAATAAAATATTTCAAGAATTTATCTATATATTTTTTGTTTGTAAGGTATTACAACTGTTTTAACAATGACAACAATTTCGACAGGTGTTCGATCATCTCTACCACGTATATCCTATGTTAAAGCAATTGATATTTATTTAGTTATGTGTTTTGTATTTGTATTTGCTGCTTTACTTGAATATGCAGCTGTTAATTATCTTTATTGGGGTACAAGAGCAAAGAGACGAAAAGAAAAAAATCAACAAAATAAAAACAAAAAAAAAGATAATGAATTAATTGAAGAAGGTAGTAATCGAGCTTCACCTATATTTGGTTTACGTCCAAATGCATTAACCAATCATCGAACAACAACAACAACATCTCTGGATGAAACTTCTTTAACTCGAAGAAATAATAATCATACGATTGAAACACAACTACCACGTATTCGTCCTCTTTTAAGAGGAAATGTTGGATTATATTCGTCATCATTAAATCGAAATCCTCGTCAACAACGAATAAATCGTCTTCTCAATCATCTACGAACTCGTGCACTAAATATACGACAACATATACCACGTTTACAGGATGTTAATGATATTGATAAATGGTCACGTTTATGTTTTCCTATCCTTTTTATACTTTTCAATGCAGCTTATTGGCCCTATTATATAGCTCGACCACAAACTTCTAATTAAATAGATAAATAAAGAAAAACGAGTTGTTAATAAATAATTTAGATAAATGCATTAGGAAGAAGAAATATATATATATATATATACTGTTTGATCTATTGATTTTCAAAATAGAATGTTAATTGAAAAAAACTACTAAAATTGAATTTGTCTGGGTTTCTGTCAATAATGATAGTTTTTCATACAAATAAACTAAAAAACAATTTAAACGAAATAATAGAATTTATCTATTAGATTAATTCAAATCAGAATAAAATATTATATAATAAAAAACAACCAGTGATATAGTTTTACAAAAACAATAAATATATTTATTTGAACGAATGACAAATTACTAATGTACTATTAAAGGAACCTTGTTCACGAAATTTTCTATGTTCGATAAAATATTGTTGATAACTATTGAAGTGAGATAACTCATCAATGTTAATTGAATTGTTAAATAACTGTCTATAGAAATAGAGAAAAACTTATTCAGCTGACATATTTTTTAATACTATTCTGTCTATATTCTTATATATATAATTTTATTTTCCGCTTCTTATTTATGTATTAGTAATTTTGAATAGATATTCATTATAACTATATATAACTAATAACAATGGTTTGAAATAATTATATGAAAAACGATTGGGATTATATTCCAATAGAGAAAGATATTGAATTCTTGTTTATTATTAATTTATAGAAATTAATATATAAAACATTCCTAGAAGGAATAAATTTGAACATGTTTAATAAAAATTATAGTAGAGATACAAAAATATCTAATTAGTGTACAATTTAAGATACTGTTTCAATATATATATATATAGATTTATATGCATTGACATGACAAGAAACGAGATTTATACATTGTCTTGAAGGAATCCATATGAGAAAAGTGTCTTAGTTTCATATGTTGTGCGCATATTTGCTGACATGTCATTTGTCATTTGTCATTATAATATCCAAATGCCACTTATGTATTGACAAAATGAAAAAAGAGAGAAAATAGAAATATTTCATCTCTATACTGAATAAGATTATCGCTATTTCCAATTGATAATAATAAGGATATGTTTAGTGGCAAGCTATATTGACAGAAGGTTGCCGTGCTCTCTTATTTCTATATTACAGATTTATTATCATTCCAGACTCGTTCGAATACTAGATCAAACGAGTCTCTTTCTATCTGTTATATTTAAGTATGAGAATGGTAAAAAGATTATTAACAAAAAATAAAAATACCGACAACTGCTGAATACAAGTTTTTTTTTATCATAGAACAAAAAAGAATAATAAAAATATAACTCGACGTTTTTCTTTTTCATGCTTTTAATAATATCCATATGTACTAAATAACTATCGACAACAACAATAATAAAATAAAGAAAAGGAAATCAAGTATAACGTTCACTTAATGACTCAAATTTATCGTCTCTTGTAAACAAGAAAAACCTCTTTCCTTTCGTCGTCGACTGTTTTCGTATTGTTTTTTCTTCCATTAAGTTGCAATCTAAAGTATCTATTGTCTATACTATACTAAGAGAAATAACATCACATCATATATATATATAGAGAGAGAATAGACACGACACAATTAGTATGCTTGTCTCTGTTGTTGTCTCTCTTCTTTTTTTTTCTTTCTTTTTTTTTTTTATTTATTCATTCGATGTGTCTTTCCCTGATGACTTTTTTAGAGGACATGATGATAAGGATGATCAAACTAGAAAGAAACAACAAGTAGTCATTGGTTCATTCTCTAAAAATTGTTGGACGACGTAACACTCTCATCATTAACTTTATATAATACTGTATGATAGAAGAAATTTTATCTGACGGTAGTAGCAAGGATCTAAGTGGTGTATGTGACAAATATTATATTTGAATATATTGATGCCTACTGGGCCTTTGACTTTCATTGCTATATTTATCATGATGATTTTTTCTTACATTGATGGTGAGTAGTTTTTAACTGATTTATTAGAGATTAAAATTTTGTCTATAGGTGACAGTATTTCATGTTCTGATCGAGAGCAATCACCATTATGTTTTTGTCAATCATCGTATCGACGTTCGTTAATAACGAATATATTTCTTTCTAAAATATCTCTCTCTCAATGTGCTAATAAATATTCTACTCGTCAATGTCGTCAAGGTCGATTTTCTCCATCGTCAACACATGTCACTCAACTTATACCCAATCTTGTTAATCATAGCCACTGTATAGAAGATGATCGTTGTCTACATGCATTACGTATTATACAACGTTGCTATCAATGTCAAATAACACCTTCATCATCACCAAACGAAAATACTTCGTATACAGTTAGTACATCACCGAATGATCTTCCAGCAGATTCATGTTTTCATGTTTGTGAACATGATAAATCATGTGGATTCTTATGTTTTGATAGACGTATAACATTCACAGTTGAATGTAAATTATGTCGAGGATATCGACGAAATGTTACATGTCGGTAAGTTAAATTTTTAATAAAAATAAACAAAAATATATGTTTTAATTTAGTTGTGCTAGAGAAAAACAATCTCAAACATGTTTTCAATCAACACCAGAAACAACAACACCACGTTGGATGCAAAAACGTGGTTTTCCAGCTGCAGGAATACTTGCATTACTTGTTACAGTTACTATTTTAATGATTATTGTTATAAAATTAATTAATCGTCGGATAGGTGTATTAGCTCAACGTAAACATGGTTCTGTTCGTCGTTCAATAACGACAATAACAACATATCGAAGTCGACAACCATCACCATCAATAGCAACTAGTTATCCAAATACACCACTTATTCCTTCTGTACAATTACGAAATGATCTTCTTAATGCTAATACAATGGTTGAATTACTAAATGATAAATCACAAGAATATGTTGTAGATATTCATCGACATGATGATGATGAAGATGAACTAAGTGTTTTTCTATTAGAAAAAACATCAACATTACATTCAAAATCAAAAGAAATCGCCGATGATGATGATGATGATGATGATGATGATGTAGTAGAAGAAGAAAATCAAACTTGAATTATTTCTTTTTTCTACTTATGATAACCTGTGATGTTTGTTTGAACTTAAGATAAATTTTCGAAATGATAAACTTTTTTCAAAAATCCATCGATATGATTATGTTTCATTTATTCTATAATGACATAAATGTCTATTTGTTGATATATGGCATCTATTCTGATGTATTGTAATTAATAAAACTATTGAGAATAATTTCACTTTTTATTTGACATAGAATTTATTCGCAGAACTTTAATCATATGTGTCCCATGATAAATCTTACATTTTTTGATAATTTAAAGAAAAAGATTGACCTTAGTAATGAATATAGAAAAAATTTTCTTGAATAACAAAACGTTTGATATAAAAATAGCTAATTTATTCTAAAATATCATTTCATAGTTCTATAGTAAGAAAAAAAAAGTCATAAATCAATCTTTTTGTTTCTGTTTCTGAATATTAGATAGTAATACTTATTGAATACCAAATTTGGATGATCAAGTTGCAATACGAGTGAAGCATTCTTGATGGGATTTTTCTGATTACCCTATAGAAATAGAACTGAATTTGCTTATTTTTCTATTTTACATTTATGTAGCTTACGCGTTTTGGAATATATTTGACAGTTCTTCTTGTTTGACGATTTTTTAATCGATATTTGTATATATATCAGCATATTCTCGACTAAATTACATAAACAATTGCAATCAAAAGACAAAGTTTAAACCTAAGTTGATTTCTGGATCATACAGTACTTTACCCCTAAAGATAAAACTTTGCACTCCATCCGATTATACAGAGTCTTTTGTTTTTATACAACTGTTATCATTATAATTATCATATATATGTAATTCTATATGAAGAATGTATCAACAATTTTGTTTATACGTGATATAGATGGTATATTGCCTTAGGACGAGTTTCTTTTCTTATTGATATTAGTAGCACTAATGACATATATTGTGACATGATATAAACAAGTATGGCGTTTTTGATCAAACTATTGAACCAATAATAAATTTTTATAATATAAAATAATATTGACAAAGAAAAAAAATCATTTGTACGACTATTTACTTTTGGAAAACTTTGCTTCTCGCACTCTTATCTTACATCTATATACTTATTTTTTATCAATGATCTGTGAAGATGTTTGCTTTGTTTCAATGTGCTCGTTGCTTTTCATTTCTAAATACCGATAATCAATTTCTTCTCTATCTTAAACAGTTTAAATTCACTATTAATATTAACGAAGAGTATAATGATCGTGTCTTTGTTCAATGTCAATCATATCACGTAGCCTTAATCCAGTTGAATAGACAAAATTATTATTAACTGATACTGTATGCATGAAATCATCACAAGAGTATAATTCTGATTTATTTAATAATGTGACTTGTGAACATCTGAGTAGAATACGTAATGTAATTTATTAATTGATCAATCAATTAATCGAATAAGTTATTTTTTACACATATATAGCCTGAACAAACATTTATCGAAATAACTTTCGAGTGTGATTGGATAACTGATAGTTGATTGCATTGTCAACAATAAATCATATATATATTAAGGTAAAATAAACAAAATTTGAGATAAAAATACATGTTAACAATTAAAATAATAAAAATTTTATTTTCCTAATTTCTGTATTGTCAACATAAACACATAAAATCAATTCAGTAAAAAACGAAATACAATAGGATAACGGAAGTATTTATTTTGACTGGAATGTAATTATTTTTAGTTTACCATCTTACTTGACCTTGATATTCTTCTTTTAATGAAATACGTTTGACTGTTTCATAACCAAATATAATAAAAAATGAATAGACACATGAATGTGAAAGACGAGCTGTTAAACCTTTGGTAAATACACGAAAACGTTCTTCTTGCCATAATTCATTCATTATTTGCAATACTTTTCGACGTTCTCGTTCGATTTGTATTCGAGTACGACATACATCCAATGGATTTGTAAGTAAACTTGATGTAAGAGAAGATAATGGGCCAGCCATACATTGAATGAGAAGTAATGGTAATGAGAAGGAGTTAACTGTAAGAAAAATATCATTGTATTTAATGTTTCCGAAAAAATAAAAGTAGCAACTTACAAAACATAGCTTGAATTTCGAGTAATTTTCTTTGATAAAAATAATATGATGGCCACCAAATAGCACTGGTTAAACTGAATAAAAATGTTGAAATAAAATAACCACGATAAAAGCCTCTTAAACTAAAACGACTATTATTATCAGACTTATTTTCGTAGAGTAATGTTTTACATATATGTTTAAATATTAGATAATTACTATTACGAATTTCTTTAGGTACATGTATACGACGAATTTGTCGATGTTTGATTTTTTCATCTGATACAGATGACGATGTACCAGTTTTTTTATTTGGTATCCTTAATCCAACTAATTGCATATGTTGAGATATAATATCAATTGGACAAGCAAGTATTTGTGCAACCATTGAGGCTACTGACCCACCAATAGCAGCACGTAAATAGTCATTTTTAGTCAATATATTTGCATGTGAACGAATATTTTCAAATGTTGTTATATAAATTACACCAGGTATTAGTTGACCATTATAAACAAGAAAACCTTTATATAATGAACGAAAACCTTCATAACGTGCAGTTGTTGTTAATGCATGCCATGTACCTTTATAAATCGATGATTTTACTTGTACTTGTAAACGAGTACGTACAAGTGTAAATGGATATAAAAGTGAACGAACAGTAAATGTTGATAGAACACTTAAAGGTATATATCGACTTTTATCAAGCATTGGCCAATCGATATCATATGTGAGACTTGGTTCATCACTTTCAGACATGTAATATACTTAAAAATAAATAAACAGAGATTGATGCAAATTAACAAATGATTTTATCAAAATTTCTATTTCACATCAGAATCTATTTAATTGTTATATAAACAAACAAACTAACTAACTAATACAAAAGAAAAGAAACAACATAACCGTCAATAGAATTTTATTTTTTAGTAAAGAACGTCAAAGAAAAAACATCACACATTTCTATTAGAAATTTGCGTTTTACAAACAGCAAATGGAAAAATACTTTTAACCTACGAAACAAACAAGAAAAAAAAGAGAAACTATTTTGA